TGCTCTGGCATAGAAGCCCCCCATAGACTAGGACTTGAAACACCAATATGTCTGTGGATATATTTTCTCATTGGTTTCAGAGTTAAGTCTAGTATTAAATATGTCCTTGGAAAAAGGATATACAGTTGAGATGTAAAATAGTGTCTTGAGATGGGGTGACAAAATATTCCCTGGAAAAGACACGAGTCCGATGGAGCTGACAGAGCCCTGGGTGGGAGTTGGACTTCAGGTCCTGGCCCGCAGGGCACTGCTGTTGGGGGTCGTCATGGCCCCCTGGGGACTCCATTTCTTCTCTTACTTGTAAGGTGATTATCAAAAGTCCCTGCTTAAAAATTTGAAGACTATTCTGTCTACTAAGTCCCCACCGATGGGTCTATTTGTTCAGGTAATTGGACCAAAAAGTGATTATATAAATTAGGCTCCCAATCAAGGACGGTCTTTGCCTTTGTGACATAGAAATGGTGCTCATAAGAACAGAACTTTTTTTCCCCTTAAGATTTATTTATTTATTTATTTGAGAGAGAGAGATCTAGAGAAAGCGTGAGTGAGCACACAGAGGGTGACAGAGAGGGAGAAGCAGACTCCCCTCTGAGCAGGGAGCCCGACGCGGGGCGCAATCCCAGGACCCTGGGATCATGACCCGAGCCGAAGGGAGACGCTCAACCGACTGAGCCACCTGGGCGCCCCAAGGATAGAACTTTTCACCGTGGGAGGACGGAGTGTCCATTGAGCAACCTCACTTTCCTAAGCTGGGCGGAATTGCCCTCGGCTGACCGTGAGACCGAGGCGCACGTTAGTCACCCTCCTGTCCCGTTTCAGCGCAGCAGATCCGGTGCTGGTGCACAAACGCTTGGAGCCACAACTTAAGCACTTGAAAATCGAGGAAAAGTGATTAAATTGGCATTGAGGAGCCCTCATTGCTATCTGTCATGAAAATAGACCTTTCTCTCAAATCATTTTCAAATTTACTTTTTTCTTAATGCTTTTGGATCTGAGGCTGTTCGGGCTAGTGTCCGGGAGAGTCGGCCTCTGCTTCTGTTCCTTAGCTCTCTGTAAACGCTTAGCAGTTAGATTTCACCGGCCTGGAGAACCACCCCGTTTCTCCACGCAGACTGGCAATTGAGAGGTGACTTCCCCCAGTAGTTTCTAGAACAGGCTCACTGAAAGATGTTTTTTTGTTTTGTTTTGTTTTGTTTTTTGAGAGAGAGAGTGAGAGAAAGGTAGGGTAAGACATTAAAAAAATTCTCAGGCTCCCAGTACAATACACAGGGTTATGCTAAATTAAGCCTTCACTTAAACATAGGGATTTTTCTGTAAATCATGACTTACCGTATTTTTTGGTGGTTAATATGTACGTGTTGGAGTGAAAGAATTAATAAGAAAAAAAACCCAAAACCGAAGAAAGTACCCGTGACTTGAGCTTAGTACTAAAATAGGACTGTCCGTAAAGAAAATGAGGAGTCATCGTGGCTGCTGGTTTGGGGGGTGAGTTTCAGAGAGCCCAGATCTTAAAGTGCTGTAACCATGGCTACGGGAAGAAGCTTTTTATGTGATACATTGTGCCACGTTCATATTATTGATCTGGCAAAATGAGCATGTTCAATTGGGTATAGCTGATGCCCCGAGCCAAGATTTGGGCTCAGTCCGATTTGAATGTCAATTTCAGGCAGCATAGAGTAGAATCCAGTGACCTCATTAGGGGTCAGCCTACTGTTTTCATCCGTAGCACCTTACATAATGTATTCCTAGAATTCTGTGTGTAAATTGAATTTGAGTATCTGGAATTGTATTTAAATGCACTGGTGAATCTGTTATTCAAATGACGCTGCTGTGCTGGTCCTGGGTGTGCTTGGGCTGAGGGGGAGGAAGCCTTGGGCTGATGGGGAGGAAGCCGTGTGATGTCCATGGAGCATTGGGGGGGTGGGCCCAGTCGGAGTCTCCGCAGAGGCAGAGCCGAGGCCAGCGTGGGGGAGGCAGGTGGCCCCTGAGTAAGGGAGCACTTTCTTTTTTTTTTTTTTTTTAAAGATTTTATTTATTTATTTGAGAGAGAGAATGAGAGATAGCATGAGAGGGAAGAGGGTCAGAGGGAGAAGCAGACTCCTTGCTGAGCAGGGAGCCCGATGTGGGACTCGATCCCGGGACTCCAGGATCATGACCTGAGCCGAAGGCAGTCGCTTAACCAACTGAGCCACCCAGGCGCCCAAGGGAGCACTTTCTAAGGACGCCCACCAAAAGGGTGACTGTGCTGAAGACCGTGTTCTAAACATCTGGGGTGCTCTGATTTTATTAATCACTTTGCAGAGGCTTGGGGAGGCCATCCACGATGGCTAAGTGTGCGGATTCCGGACACAGACCCGGGTTCTCCCGCCATGGGACCACGCACAGTCCTTGCAAATTTTTGTCCCCTCCTGTAGGATAGCTGTGCTTCCTGCCTCTCCCGGCTTTGGGACGACCAAATGAGATCATGCGTATACCAGCTGGTGGCACAGTGTCTGCGCGTGCTGAGCATTCAGAAAGTGTTTATGGGACTGGGGTGGCAAAAATGACCTGTGCTCTGCAGACACACAGTTTGCCTCTGTCCATAGATTTGAGGAACTTCAGACCCGGACTCAACAGGAGTTGTGTTCCTGGTGCAATGGCAGTTTCTGTGAGTAATTCAGGATTCCCAAAACCCTTGCTGCCCTTAAGGTGGCGGGGTGGCCATTTGAACAAAGAATCCGGGCAGACCATGCCACGTGTCATTGGAGGGGTAGACTGTGTACTCTGGTACTCAGTGGGCAGAGAAACGCTGGAGGAAGGACCTTGGACGGGCTGTCAGGGGTCCGTTAGTGCGTCCTGCAGTGGGGACAGGGAGAGCCAGGAAGTCCATGCCTCCTGGGGAGGAGGGATCCTGCAGGGACTGAATCCTGAACACTGTGCCCAGCCACCGCATGGAGAACCCCAGGGGGTTTATGAGCTTCTTTAGGTGGGAGAAGGGAGCGATCGCCAGCCCCTTGAAACACAAGTGCCGCCGTTGTGTCTTCTTTAGAAGCAAGACGGTAAGGTAGAGAAGTCTGTGTTCGTGGACTCAGCACGATTTGTGGAGTTGGGAATGTCCACCCAGATTGTCACACTCCTGTCAGCTCCGACTCACACATACCTGTGTGTGTGTGTGTGTGTGTGTCCATACGTTTTATATATGCAAACGTGCACACAGACACAAAGATACGCCTACATGCACACAGCTGCGTGTGTGCGTACACGTGTGTGTGTTCATTCAACTCGCATCTTCAGTTCCAGGCAACCGAGAGCCCCCCGGTACGGCCTGGGCCCCGCTGCACCCCAGCTCACAGGCGCGGGTGTGCAGGTGGCGCTGCATGGCCGTGCCGGCTCAGCCTCGCATCCCTGGCGTCTAGCGTGGGAACTGGCACCTCGGGCGCGCCCCGCACGGCTCCCCAGCTTCCAGAGTGTTCCAGTAGAAGAGAACCGTGCTGTGGCTTGAACCTCAGAGCATCCTTTCCTGTCTTAACAGCGCGTGGTTCTGGAGAAGCTATTTCTAGGCTGACCGGGGCTGCTGACGTCTGA